TCTGCATGATAGTGTCTTCCATTGCAGACACTGCAAGGCTCCAGGTGGACATCAACCAAATCTTTCAGTGGGATGCAGAAAACAATATGAAGTTCAACGATGAGAAATTTCAATTACTCAGATATGGTAAACACGAGGAAATTAAATCTCCATAAGAGTACAAAACAAATTCTGGCCACAAAATAGAGCGAAACACCAACGCCAAAGACCTGGGAGTGATCATGTCGGAGGATCTCACCTTCAAGGGCCATAACATTGTATCAATCGCATCTGCTAGAAAAATGGCAGGATGGATAATGAGAACCTTCAAAACTAGGGATGCCAAGCCCATGATGACACTCTTCAGGTCACTTGTTCTATCTAGGCTGGAATATTGCTGCACACTAACAGCACCTTTCAAGGCAGGTGAAATTGCTGACCTAGAAAATGTACAGAGAACCTTCACAGCGCGCATAACGGAGATAAAACACCTCAATTACTGGGAGCGCTTGAGGTTCCTGAACCTGTATTCCCTGGAATGCAGGCGGGAGAGATACATGATTATATACACCTGGAAAATCCTAGAGGGACTAGTACCGAACTTGCACACGAAAATCACTCACTACGAAAGCAAAAGACTTGGCAGACGTGGCAACATCCCCCCAATGAAAAGCAGGGGTGTCACTAGCATGTTAAGAGACCATACAATAAGTGTCAGGGGCCCGAGACTGTTCAACTGCCTCCCAGCATACATAAGGGGGATTACCAACAGACCCCTGGCAGTCTTCAAGCTGGCACTGGACAAGCACCTAAAGTCGGTTCCTGATCAGCCGGGCTGTGGCTCGTACATTGGTTTGCGTGCAGCCAGCAGTAACAGCCTGGTTGATCAGGCTCTGATCCACCAGGAGGCCTGGTCACAGACCGGGCCGCGGGGGCGTTGACTCCCGGAACTCTCTCCCGGTAAACTATCACTGTCTTGCCAGAGGTATACATATACGACAGTTTAGAAATCACTCTAAACAGCAAATATCCCAAATCCCAAAACCAAACAGTGCAGGCACTGTATTTCTCATTTCCAGGGCTCAAGTCCATATTTATACACCACTACTATATATTTTATTTTTATTATCACACTGGCCGATTCCCACCAAGGCAGGGTGGCCCGAAAAAGAAAAACTTTCACCATCATTCACTCCATCACTGTCTTGCCAGAAGGGTGCTTTACACTACAGTTTTTAAACTGCAACATTAACACCCCTCCTTCAGAGTGCAGGCACTGTACTTCCCATCTCCAGGACTCAAGTCCAGCCTGCCGGTTTCCCTGAACCCCTTCATAAATGTTACTTTGCTCACACTCCAACAGCACATCAAGTATTAAAAACCATTTGTCTCCATTCACTCCTTTCAAACATGCTCACGCATGCCTGCTGGAAGTCCAAGCCCCTCGCACACAAAACCTCCTTTACCCCCTCCCTCCAACCTTTCCTAGGCCAACCCCTACCCCGCCTTCCTTCCACTACAGACTGATACACTCTTGAAGTCGCATTTACTTCTCTTACAACCCCATCTATAAATATATTAAACAACCACGGTGACATCACACATCCTTGTCTAAGGCCTACTTTTACTGGGAAATAATTTCCCTCTTTCCTACATACTCTAACTTGAGCCTCACTATCCTCCTAAAAACTCTTCACTGCTTTCAGTAACCTACCTCCTACACCATACACCTGCAACATCTGCCACATTGCCCCCCTATCCACCCTGTCATATGCCTTTTCCAAATCCATAAATGCCACAAAGACCTCTTTAGCCTTATCTAAATACTGTTCACTTATATGTTTCACTGCAAACACCTGGTCCACACACCCCCTACCTTTCCTAAAGCCTCCTTGTTCATCTGCTATCCTATTCTCCGTCTTACTCTTAATTCTTTCAATAATAACTCTACCATACACTTTGCCAGGTATACTCAACAGACTTATCCCCCTATAATTTTTGCACTCTCTTTTATCCCCTTTGCCTTTATACAAAGGAACTATGCATGCTCTCTGCCAATCCCTAGGTACCTTACCCTCTTCCATACATTTATTAAATAATTGCACCAACCACTCCAAAACTATATCCCCACCTGCTTTTAACATTTCTATCTTTATCCCATCAATCCCGGCTGCCTTACCCCCTTTCATTTTACCTACTGCCTCACGAACTTCCCCCACACTCACAACTGGCTCTTCCTCACTCCTACAAGATGTTGTTCCCTCCTTGCCCTATACACGAAATCACAGCTTCCCTATCTTCATCAACATTTAACAATTCCTCAAAATATTCCCTCCATCTTCCCAATACCTCTAACTCTCCATTTAATAACTCTCCTCTCCTATTTTTAACTGACAAATCCATTTGTTCTCTAGGCTTTCTTAACTTGTTAATCTCACTCCAAAACTTTTTCTTATTTTCAACAAAATTTGTTGATAACATCTCACCCACTCTCTCATTTGCTCTCTTTTTACAATGCTTCACCACTCTCTTAACCTCTCTCTTTTTCTCCATATACTCTTCCCTCCTTGCATCACTTCTACTTTGTAAAAACTTCTCATATGCTAACTTTTTCTCCCTTACTACTCTCTTCACATCATCATTCCACCAATCGCTCCTCTTCCCTCCCGCACCCACTTTCCTGTAACCACAAACTTCTGCTGAACACTCTAACACTACATTTTTAAACCTACCCCATACCTCTTCGATCCCATTGCCTATGCTCTCATTAGCCCATCTATCCTCCAATAGCTGTTTATATCTTACCCTAACTGCCTCCTCTTTTAGTTTATAAACCTTCACCTCTCTCTTCCCTGATGCTTCTATTCTCCTTGTATCCCATCTACCTTTTACTCTCAGTGTAGCTACAACTAGAAAGTGATCTGATATATCTGTGGCCCCTCTATAAACATGTACATCCTGAAGTCTACTCAACAGTCTTTTATCTACCAATACATAATCCAACAAACTACTGTCATTTCGCCCTACATCATATCTTGTATACTTATTTATCCTCTTTTTCTTAAAATATGTATTACCTATAACTAAACTCCTTTCTATACAAAGTTCAATCAAAGGGCTCCCATTATCATTTACACCTGGCACCCCAAACTTACCTACCACACCCTCTCTAAAAGTTTCTCCTACTTTAGCATTCGGGTCCCCTACCACAATTACTCTCTCACTTGGTTCAAAGGCTCCTATACATTCACTTACATCTCCCAAAATCTCTCTCTCTCCTCTGCATTCCTCTCTTCTCCAGGTGCATACACGCTTATTATGACCCACTTCTCGCATCCAACCTTTACTTTAATCACATAATTCTTGAATTTACACATTCATATTCTCTTTTCTCCTTCCATAACTGATCATTCAACATTACTGCTATCCCTTCCTTTGCTCTAACTCTCTCAGATACTCCAGATTTAATCCCATTTATTTCCCCCCCACCGAAACTCCCCTACCCCCTTCAGCTTTGTTTCGCTTAGGGCCAGGACATCCAACTTCTTTTCATTCGTAACATCAGCAATCATCTGTTTCTTGTCATCCGCACTACATCCACGCACATTTAAGCATCCCAGTTTTATAAAGTTTTTCTTCTTCTCTTTTTTAGTAAATGTCTACAGGAGAAGGGGTTACTAGCCCATTGCTCCCGGCATTTTAGTCGCCTCATACGACACGCATGGCTTACAGAGGAAAGATTCTTTTCCACTTCCCCATGGACAATAGAAGAAATAAAGAGGAACAAGAACTATTTAGAAAAAGGAGAAAAACCTAGATGTATGTATATATATATGCATGTGCACGTCTGTGAAGTGTGACCAAAGTGTAAGTTGGAGTAGCAAGATATCCCTGTTATCTAGCGTGTTTATGAGACAGAAAAAGAAACCAGCAATCCTACCATCATGCAAAACAGTTACAGGTTTCTGTTTCACAGTCATCTGGCAGGACGGTAGTAATTCCCTGGGTGGTTGCTGTCTACCAACCTACTACCTACATATATGTTTCACATAATATACATCATGGACTTTCTCCTAAAATTTTAAAAACTTATTATTTTGTAAAACTGATATGTGCTGCGCTGTATTACCCTTGTAGGTTTAGAGCTTCTTTTTGATCCACATCAGGTAAAAATTTTCCTTCTGAAGACCATCCCTCTCAGAATGTGCTGTAATACAGAATCATCTCCAGACATTTCACAGATTTTCAGGTGTTAACATGTGAAGAAACACCTACAATATGTTAGGTGTTAACAAGTAAAGAAACATAAATTATTACTCAAATAATTCAACATTTGTTTGGCTATAATGTATGTGAGGTAGCTGCCCCAGCAAGAACTTTCAAGTGAGAAAATAAGGGAAAAACAGGTAATGACAGAAAGACACAAGTTATAGAGATGAAGAAAAGAATGAGGAAACAATGAGGGACACTATGGAGATGCAAAAATTGGGAAAATCATGTAGAAGCACTACAATGGGTGTAGCCAAAGAAAAAGAAGCATAAGCAAGATGTGCTAAAAAGACACTAGAACAGTTTTTCTTTGCTGTGACTGAACAATGGAATGGTTGACAAGGAGGAGGCAAGAGGTACAACCAATGGAAGTCTTAAAAAAATGGTGCTAGAATAAATGCTCCTGGCATTTTAGGTTAGCTTTGCTCCTGTAGTTACAAATAAATAATTATATCTAGGTACTATATCATAAGAGGCAGATCAAAACACTCAGAGCAAGGGGCTAGTAACCCCTTCGCCTATATAAATTACTAAATGTAAGAAGATAAAGTTTATAGCTTTCTTCTTTTTCGGGTCTCACCCTACCTTGGTGGGAGATGGCTGGTATGTTGAAAAAAAAAAGGGCAGTTTCCAAGGGAGACTGAAATCACTCAGTCTACTACAGTAAAGTACCATTTCCTTAGTTTAACCCATTACATAATCTCTTCCTATCATGCTCGCCACACAATCACTTTACCTTATTTATAACATACCAATATCATCTCGATGCACATCATCCCCAGGTCCATCCATCTGCATAAGAGCTGTGCGAAGCTGCCTCCTCTCATCTTCTGTCAGAGAAGTAAATGGTCCATTCTTTCTACGAGACCCCACAATGTCTACAGCATCATCTTCATCCTCGACACTAACACCATCACTCCCCCACAGCCAGGAGAACCAGCCTGCACCAGATGGCTCCACTGGATGCACCAGACTTGGCTCATCCTGAGAAATCTACATTCAGAAAGAAAGGCATTTCTAAGTAATAAATACCCTTATTTAGTTACTGGAAACTGGAATGCTATTGAAACAGGAAAAAATTTATTATGTAAATTGAAGTCTGATAAAAACAAATACTTAACAAGGCAGAAAAGCAGCATCATACCATGTCAGAAGAACTCTTCAGCTGGAAGAGGCAATGTAATATGCCATAATGATGATGCTACTTCTCCATCTTAAATATTTTTTTTAGTTTATTTTTGTACTTTAAAATTATCATGATGGTCTAATATCTTGAGAAGTTGAGTATGAAAGTAAAATTTTAAGATTGTGGTTTAGTAAGCATTAAAATCAGATACAAACCTACAGTGTAAATATGGTCCTGAGTGTAGACACACACTGATGTATGATAAACGATGACACATTTAAGTTGTATTACTTAAGAAATAAATATGATTGTGGCTTGCTGGCTTGGTAGACAACATTCTCACCTCACACATTGAGTGTCCATGGTTTAATCCCTGGCATGGGTAGAAACATTGGGCATGTTTCTTTACACCTGCTGCCCCTGTTCACCTAGCAGTAAGTAGGTATCTGGGTGTTAGTCAACTGGTGTGGGTCACATCCTGGGGGACAAGACTGAAGGACCCCAATGGAAACAAGACCAACATTCCTCAATAATACACTGAATTTCCTGGGATATCCTGGGTGGCTAACCCTCGAACAAATCTTATCTTACTATCGGTATATTCAGATGATACTTTTTCATAACATATGTATATAATTACCTGTTGTATGTCTGCACCATACCTGAGGGTAAGATAAGCATTTCTTTTTAACATGTCGGCTGTTTCCCACCAAGGCAGGGTGGCCAAAAAAGAAAGAGAAACCCAAAAAGAAAGAAAAAACTTTCAACATCATTCAACACTTTCACCATCACTTATACATAATCAGTCTTTGCAGAGGCGCTCAGATACGACAGTTTAGATGTCCCTCAAAACTGCCAATATCCCAAACTCCTCCTTTAAAGTGCAGACATTGTACTTCCCATTTCCAGGATTCAAGTCCAGCTAACCAGTTTCCCTGAATCCCTTTACAAAATATTACTCTGCTCAAGCACATATTTTCCTTAAATCAAATTTTGCTCATTTATTACCCACCTTTATTTTGGCATGCATGCGAGCCAGCACAATGTTGGTGAGATTTAATGTGTCTTCTAACTTCATTAAATCAGCTTCCAGTTCACTGGTGTATCCTTCCAGAAGATGCTTCATATACAGACTTGTATACTCCTTATATATAGACCTGTAATTGGTCGGCAATTTTTAGAATCCATATAAAACAGAGACAAAGACATTTACAATTGTATTTTAATATTATTTAAGATAATGTATACTGTTCTCCCCAATTCAAAGCTAAACAGGTTAACTTGTATGACAGGAATAATGTATGAGCATTTTGAATTAGGTGACAAAACCCCCATAGGAAATTCATTTTTATACAGTGTAAAAAATTATATATTATAATAAGGAATAAATTTCCTGAAGATATTATTTTTATATAACTACCTGATCTATAAACTAAGAAGCTTTAAGTATTTGTTATATGTTATGGAGCGACAGTCTCCCATGTCCACCTTTAGCATAAAAACAGTTACTGACCTCAAAAAAATTTTTAATTTGACCGAGGCAGAAACAGGTAAACCACTGTGTTAACTGCTGTTTTCTCACTTTGATGAGTGTTAAGATGAAGAAGAGTGGAGGACCACCACTGAGCATTAGTAGAGAACTGCATTTAGATTGTTGTTCTGTACAGGACACATGTATTGACTGTGTGGAAATGTTCTTTGGCATGAATGATACATGATGTGAGTCATGGGAGAATTGGGACTTGTCCAAACCTAAAAGATGTTATAAGTTTGCCATGTGTCGTGAAAAACTTAAGACGACTAATAGATTGTAAACTCCTAGATTCACAACTTATTGTTATTGCCCTCTTAATCTTAAGTTAGTCTTAAGTTTGCCCGAAATGCTCTGCATATATAAGGGCTTCTGGAATGTACACCTATTGTCATTCTCCTTTGTACAACCACTGTATCATGCTGATATAAAATATTATTATTATTATTATTTTTTTTTTTTTTCAACAAGTCGGTCGTCTCCCACCGAGGCAGGGTGACCCCCAAAAAAAAGAAAGAAAATCCCCAAAAAGAAAATACTTTCATCATCATTCAACACTTTCACCACACTCACACATTATCACTGCTTTTGCAGAGGTGCTCAGAATATAACAGTTTAGAAGCATATACGTATAGAGATACACAACATATCCCTCCAAACTGCCAATATCCCAAACCCCTCCTTTAAAGTGCAGGCATTGTACTTCCCATTTCCAGGACTCAAGTCCGACTATATGAAAATAACTGGTTTCCCTGAATCCCTTCACTAAATATTACCCTGCTCACACTCCAACAGATCGTCAGGTCCCAAGTATCATTCGTCTCCATTCACTCCTATCTAACACGCTCATGCACGCTTGCTGGAAGTCCAAGCCCCTCACCCACAAAACCTCCTTTACCCCCTCTTTCCAACACTTTCGAGGATGACCCCTACCCCTCTTTCCTTCCCCTATAGATTTATATGCTTTCCATGTCATTCTACTTTGATCCATTCTCTCTAAATGACCAAACCACCTCAACAACCCCTCTTCTGCCCTCTGACTAATGCTTTTATTAACTCCACACCTTCTCCTAATTTCCACACTCCGAATTTTCTGCATAATATTTACACCACACATTGCCCTTAGACAGGACATCTCCACTGCCTCCAACCGTCTCCTCGCTGTTGCATTTACCACCCAAGCTTCACATCCATATAAGAGTGTTGGTACTACTATACTTTCATACATTCCCTTCTTTGCCTCCATAGATAACGTTTTTTGACTCCACATATACCTCAACGCACCACTCACCTTTTTTCCCTCATCAATTCTATGATTAACCTCATCCTTCATAAATCCATCCGCTGACACGTCAACTCCCAAGTATCTGAAAACATTCACTTCTTCCATACTCCTCCTCCCCAATTTGATATCCAATTTTTCTTTATCTAAATCATTTGATACCCTCATCACCTTACTCTTTTCTATGTTCACTTTCAACTTTCTACCTTTACACACATTCTCAAACTCATCCACTAACCTTTGCAATTTTTCTTTAGAATCTCCCATAAGCACAGTATCATCAGCAAAAAGTAACTGTGTCAATTCCCATTTTGAATTTGATTCCCCATAATTTAATCCCACCCCTCTCCCGAACACCCTAGCATTTACTTCTTTTACAACCCCATCTATAAATATATTAAATAACCATGGTAACATTACACATCCCTGTCTAAGACCTACTTTTACCGGGAAGTATTCTCCCTCTCTTCTACATACCCTAACCTGAGCCTCACTATCCTCATAAAAGCTCTTTACAGCATTTAGTAACTTACCACCTATTCCATATACTTGCAACATCTGCCACATTGCTCCTCTATCCACTCTATCATATGCCTTTTCTAAATCCATAAATGCAATAAAAACTTCCCTACCTTTATCTAAATACTGTTCACATATATGCTTCAATGTAAACACTTGATCTACACATCCCCTACCCACTCTGAAACCTCCTTGCTCGTCCGCAATTCTACATTCTGTCTTACCTCTAATTCTTTCAATTATAACCCTACCGTATACTTTTCCTGGTATACTCAGTAAACTTATTCCTCTATAATTTTTACAATCTCTTTTGTCCCCTTTCCCTTTATATAAAGGGACTATACATGCTCTCCGCCAATCCCTAGGTACCTTCCCCTCTTTCATACATTTATTAAACAAAAGTACCAACCACTCCAACACTATATCCCCCCCTGCTTTTAACATTTCTGTCATGATTCAACTGTATCCTACTATTGTTACCAGCTCCTACATGCCTGCATTTCCAGTAGTTCTGTGTACTTCAGGAATGAATGATGATCTTTCCACAGACCAGGAGGTCATCCACTAAATTTCACATTAAAGTTAAAATCATTATGTAAATTTTCTAATATTATTAATCAAGATGAATGGTTTTTGGGACTAGACGAGCTGTTGGGGTGTGAGCAGGGTAATATTTTGTGAAGGGATTCAGGGAAACCGGTGAGCCGGACTTGAGTCCTGGAGGTGGGAAGTACAATGCCTGCACTTTAAAGGAGGGGTTTGGGATATTGGCTGTTTGGAGTGACATCTAAACTGTCATATCTGGGCACCTCTGCAAAGACAGTGATTATGTGTGAATGATGTTGAAAGTGTTTCTTTTTTGGGTCACCCTGCCTCGGTGGGAGATGGCCACTGTGTTAAAAAATAATTAATTATTAATATTCACCTTATTTTTAACACAACAGCCATCTCTTATCAAGGCAGGTTGACCAGAAAAAGAAGAAACAGTTTCACTGTCATTCATTCTATCACAATCAGTCTTGCCCAAAGCATTCTGACATCACAGCTCAGATGAGCCTCCTAAATGCAACACCCCAACCCCTCCTACAGAGTGCAGGTGCCACACTTCCCACCTCCAGGACTCTAGTCCAGCTAACTAACTGGTTTCCCTGAATCCCTTCATAAATGTTACTTTGCTTACATTCCAACAGTGTGTCAAATCATACAAAACACTTGCTTCCACTTACTCCTATCTAACAGGCTAACACAAGCCTATTACATCAATTATTGAAAAAATATCACAATTTTTTTTCCTACCTGTGCTTCTTAATGTTCTCCCATGAGAAAGGTCTAATCTGTTCTTGAATTATGGCATTAGTTGCATATTGCCACCACTCCTCTGCATGACGCTTTAAGGGCACTGCAGGTCGATACTTCAAAAAGCGCCTGGAAGGTCATAATGAATGCTGCAACTCTTGAAAATCATGTTACAGTTACAATTAAAATAAATCCTCATTATGAAGTCCACTTAGATAACCTGAAAATTCACTTTCCCAAAGGAAAATAGTTAAATCAAGTCATTCCAATACTGTATTTTTGTAATACAATTAACCTAACAACCTAACCTATCTAGAAATATGCAAAACTTTAGATAGCTTGTTTTCCATGAGGAGAAGGGTAAAAATATTTTTTATATTCTGTTGAATTTACTAGCTAAGAGATGTAATCCTACCTCATCTCTTCAAAGGCTCAGCTGTCTAAGGTATACTTGTACTACCACTTCCCAGAATACCATCACAACAGTTAGCTAACACCTAGATAACTAAACCAGGAAAAGGGTGGGATTTGAACCCACAGCAAGTGAGTCCTTAAACTCACAGGCCAGTACGTTAACCACTCAGCCAACCTAGGTATCTATTTACTGTTAGATCAACTTACCGATACATGTATTAGTATTGACAGAATTACCGACAATATGTTAGGTAAAAGGACACAAGTGCAACTAATGTGACATTGTGGCAACGTTTTGCTCTCCAGGAGCTTTGTCAAACCATTAAAGGCTTGACAAAGCTTCTGGAGAGTGAAACGGTGCCACAATAAAATGTCACATTAGTTGCACTTGTGTCCTTTTACCTAACTTACCAATACGTCTCAACTCATCTAGGATTCAGCCCGGTTCTTTTGGTTATGGACTAAAAGTGCTACTACTGAAATATGAGTAATATAAAGGTGACCCATCCACTTGTGTCAAATAAGTATCTCTGAAACCAACACAGTAACTGATAAATTAGACACATGTGCAACACTTGGGTATCTTTATTGTGGAAACACTTTGCCACATAATGACTTTCTCAGTCCAATACAGAGGAGAATGGTTGAAGATGAGGAGTTTGAGGTAATCAGTCCCTCGGCCTAGAGTCGATGTAATCAGTCCATCATTACTAGTCAATGTGACTGGTTAATGGTCCAAGTTGGGCCAAAATGTCATCGAAAGTTTCCTTCTCCTGTGTGCGGGTTATTTGTGCATAGTTCCAGTTACGGTATTGTGCCTTTGTGCCCAAGAAATACCTGAACATCTTCAATTTATGAGATTATATCTAACTGTGAACAAATTCTTACAGCAGTAATAGTAATAAAGAAAACTGGATAAGTTACCTGTTGGTATTAACAAAGGTGAAGACTTCAGCTAACTCTGTGAGAGCAACATACTGACGATGTGAGAGTGCAAGAGCAGCATCCTTGATTACAGCATCTACCAGAAGCCCAGGAACTCTGGCTTCTCTCTTCATCTGCTGTCTCATCTTTACCTTACATCGTACAGGCTGAAGAACTAAGGAGAAAAATAAAGTTAGAGACCATGAATCATACTTTTAAATGTATGCAATATTTAGAAAAAAATCTTTATATACATATTCTTTCTTCAATTGACAATATCAAACAAAGTATTATCAATATCACAAGCATTTTATTTTAACTTTAAAATTTATACTTTTCATAATCGTACCAAACTGAAAGGGCTCATCATTAATGGAAAAGGTCTTAAGCCCCTCTTGTAGATATTGATGCCATAGTTCAGAACTGATGTGAGGTTTAACTAGACGCTGATGTTCACCTCCAGGATTAATGTACACCGAGGCAGATACAAAATCTACAACCTTGTTGACTGTTGCTGCATTTCCATCAACTTGGGCCTTTTTCCACTTACTGAAATATGAATCAAAACCAGTGATGCATTCATAAACAGTATCACTGCATAATTAACAAATCAAAACACTGAAAGCCTCACAGCATTACTGAACAACTTAAACCCTCTTATTCACCACCCTCAGGGCCAAGACACATCACAGCATTACTGAACAGCCTAAACTCTCATATTCACCACCCTCAGGGCTGAGACTTTGCACAGTCTCAGGATTTCTTAATTTTGAGGAACTAAATAAATTCAGATACCCTATTATGGACTAGTATCCGAAACAGACTATGTGGTGAAAAATGGTATGTTAATACCAACAAGATGTGGAAAAAGACACTTATGTACAGTTTGGGATGTTTATCAGAGGAAACATTTCGTCACATGTGATGAAACATTTCTTCTGATAAGTGTCCTGAACTGTACATAGGTATCTTTTTCCACAGTCTATGTGGTAGAAAAATTAGCCTTTTTTGTTACACAAACATAGGGCTGGGTCAGTCTGTTAATGGCACCCAAGTTCCAACAGCAAGGTTCATATGACTTCCATGCCAGTGTGTAAACCATTCAGTTAACTGGTCAAGCAGCTTAGGCACTGGCTTGAAGTTTTAAGACTCACTCACTGTGAGTTCAAACCCCACCCATTCCATGGTTTATTTGCAATCATGTTATGATTTCGTGAGTCAAGATCTGTTACAAAGTGCCATCCAGCTTTCACACTGACACAACTCTTTCCATAGTTTAACAGTTTTTTCATCTTTATATCAACAAAGAATGGTATTAACTCTTTATACTACTAGCTATGGGGCTATCTGTGACCTATTTTGACACTAGTATAGTCAAGAAGGTAAAAACTAAGGGGGAAAAATAATATATAATAATGCAGCTAAAGAGCTCCAATTTTGGAAAAAAAACTCTGGATTTTATTGTATTAATTTTCAACCTTATCTGTAAAGTAATACAAGACAGATAATGTAGAATACAGCATCACGTATAGCAGGTAGCTAATGTTAACACTAAAGGTAACTGAAATGTTTATTGGAGACTCTATGCAAAGTCAGACTCTGAAGGATGGTGTTCAAAGAGGAAACAAGGTATATACACATTTAAAACAGATACTGTATAGTGACAAGCAAATATCTGATGACACACCACAAATAATACAGCTTTGTGTGACCTTACATACTGTACCACAAGTCTGGCAAGTTTCACATACATATAAATAGGTACAGGTCGGCCATTACTAATCTGGCAATCAGTTATCCGGTTCCATCAGTAATCCAGCACTAATTTCAGCTAGCATAATTTCATATTTCTTCATTATACTGACTCAGAAATTGTGCAGATGGTTGTAAGTAAACAGCAGCAAGCCAGTGGAGGAGAAAGCAGTGATGAAAATGAGGAAGATGTAGCAGAAAGTGTCTCTATTGATAGGTTAATTAAGTGTATTCTAACCTAACCACTCTGTAATCTGGCAAACTCACTAGTCCGGCACACTGCAGGTCCCAATGATGCCGGATTAGTGATGGCCGACCTGTATACTGAAAATGGATTTAAAAATTACTAATCAGAAGCTTAACAAACTTACTGGTTTGTTGTGTCTGCTGATAGAGATTGTAAGCAAACTCCAATGATGAGTGGCCCGGGACACGAATAAGTGTCTTCATACCGAATATGAACATTGTTGATGTGCAGCTCTAGGTTGTTCCATATTCTGTTATATAGTAAACCTGAAATTATTAAAATATTTGATAAATTTTGGTGCTTCAGTGTATAACCTCACATGTACAGTATTACTATCAATAATTATAATCTCTTATCTACTGTACAATATTATGTTAATCCCCATGTATAATGAATACTGTGGGTCAGGGGTACTTATTTTTATGATTACAGAACCCCCCCAATGGATTGCCCGAAATGTCCTTATACCACCTTCATCTGACTGTGGAAATTACCACCACCATCAACAGTCCTATTAGGTACCAATATGACTTCAAAAGATGTCAACAGCTTGGTTTTACTTTACATATGGATAGCTAAACCATAACAGCTGATAGCTTATTCTAATCTAACAACTTTTTTTTTAAAATGTTCAAAGATCAAGTCCCATATCCCCAGAGGATATGGATATCCCCAGTTAAGAACTCTTGCCATAGATGAAAGATATGGGTAATATAAAGCTTAAAATAAGAGGGGAAAAATAGCATGCCAAGAAAATTCTGATACTAATCTACATAGTACCTTAATAAAGCAAAAAGGTAAGGATCTTCAGTTTATGTATATTTTTCCTTGTTCAATTCTTCATGTTCACCACGCTTCTTAACTACTATTAGAATAATAACAAGTACAGTAACGCGACGGTCTGGAGTTTTGAGACTCTCTGACCGCGGGTTCAATCCTGGCCGGGGTATGGTTTGGTTTACAGTACAATACTCATACTAACATAGAAAAGTAAAAAATATACTTAAAACATACCCCAGAGACTTGTAGAATCTTGTATGTCATCAATGGGCAATGGATCGGGAAACAAGTATGCCAGAGTCTGCCGCTTCCTGGCACGGTCCAGGTCTCTCTCCCGTTCTGCATCATACTCTAGCACTGGTGTTACCAGTATGAACACATCCTGCAAATTATACATTGCAGGTACATCTATTAACTTTCTCTCAAACGTTAAAATTAAAAAGGCTTGATAATGGTGTATCACTTAATTTTAAAGATATGTGTTATTTTTCTATATGATCCATTTTTATTATGAATATTTTTTATACAGACTCATAGGTATCAAGTTATCTAGCAGCATAATAGTACTCAATATCATTTATACTTCATTCATTACTGTTTGAATTACAGTGGACCCCCGCATAACGATTACCTCCGAATGCGACCAATTATGTAAGTGTATTTATGTAAGTGCGTTTGTACGTGTATGTTTGGGGGTCTGAAATGGACTAATCTACTTCATAATATTTCTTATGGGAACAAATTCGGTCAGTACTGGCACCTGAACATACTTCTGGAGTAAAAAAATATCGTTAACCGGGGGTCCACTGTATTAATGTTATTACATATATTCACAGGGAAGTGCTAAACTACTAAGGGTTCATGAAATGTAATAATACAATTGTAAACAAACCACAGAACAGCTGGCTACAAGTTTAGTTGGTTACAATTGTAGCCAGCTGGCTGAGTGGCTTCCACACTGGCTTTGAGTTTTAGGACTCACTTGCCATGGGTTCAAACCCCACCCGTTCCCTGGTTTATTAAAGGTTATATATAGTACATATCATCATGGAAAAATTACATTCCATACTAAATAATGAAATACAAAAAGAACTCACTTCAATATTGATCACCACTGGTTGTGTGAAGAAACTACTGTACGGAATAGTGAGTGATATCCTGCCAATTACACCCTTTTTCACTTCTATGGGGAGCGGACTTCCATAATAAACGTCAAGAAAACACTGTTGGAAATGGGAGAGATTGTAATTTATTATAGATATACAATTTATTACAGAGATACAACATAAGAATCCTCATGGAAATATTTCTTTCAGAAACTGTAGGTATATCATAGGTAAAGTTCTCATATCTTTTTGCATATTTATAAGTATCTGCTTACTCACAGTGTATTGTATCTGATGCTGCTTTCATTATGAAACATTGAACTCACCAGAGCATCTCTTCTGATCTTGAGGTTTGTGAGGTTGATCTGACCTGAGAGAAGGGCATCATTTACCTCTTGTGTATTTATATCCTCTAGATACTGACCAAAGAATCGATTAACCAAAGCAGCGACTACTTTCTTAGCTAACCATTCCATTACGCACTGCTCATGTAGTTACCACATCTTCTGCTGGAAATATTTATTTACAATAGATATAAACATAATTCTTCCTCTAATCTTGTAAAAAAGTCACTTAGATTAGGATAGCCACATAAAGCCATGTAACTTTAATAATGACTCAAGACTGATCATGAGAGAAATATAAGGGATGTGTGATATGAAACTTAAAATATAAGTCTCTGATTATATTACAGCCTAAACAGAATATATACAGTATACATAATGGCTTTATAATATTTTAAAAAGGGCTTCTCAAATGGACAATATGAAATCAACAAGTTGGAAATGAATGGGAATCATATTACAACTGCTGCAAATGTTTAACTAATTAAAATATCAGTTAAAGGTAGGCTTAATTATAGTACAAATAAAGAATAAAAAGGCACAATACCATGACCAGAACAATACACAAATAACCCGCACATACGACTAGTTAATGGTCTAAATCAGACCAGAAACATCGTAAGTTTCATTCATGTGTGGGTTAGTTGTGCATGGAACAAATACTGTACTGTATAATAAAATCACTATGTGACTTATATTGTTAAGTTTAACAATATAAGTCACATAGTTCAACTTTATTGAGTTAGCTTAGGTTACTTTCTCCATAATGTCTAAATATCACCATTGTCAAATTTTTAAGTTATATAAGAAAACTAAAAAAAAAAAGCATATTAACAAGTTCAGATTATTATTATTATAATAAAAAAGAAGCGCTAAACCTAACAAGTTCAGAGCAATGTTCCACCTGACCTATATGTGACTCATCAAGTTATATGTATTAATTTTAAAGCCACACATTTTAAATAATCAATCAATCAATCGATATTTATTTCTGCATACATATATCATTTGTACAAAGTTGGCTGACATTACATCAATCACATGGAAAGCCCCTTAGTCATCCAGTGCATTTTTAGCAAGCATAAACTACTTGGCTTTTTGGGTTATATATTAAGTTAAATTTGTACATCGTAAATTATTTTAACTTGTTCTGTACTTTGATGAAATTAAGACACATGTGCAACATCTGGCTATCTTTACAATACTGTACTTTTATAAACTATATCAAAAATATTTCAATCTCATTGTTTTAAAATGTACTAACTTGTAGTACAGTACTTCATACTGTAAACTGTTTGAACTTGTTCTGAATTGTACTTTTTATAAACTATATCAAAACTGTTATTATTCTGTACCAAATTGCTCTACTAGACTTATTAAAGCCATATAGCATTACCTTATAGAATACTCAATTCTCTTGTACTCATTGTAACTCATCTAATGACCATATGAACTGTTATTGCCTTATTAATCCTAAGTTAGTTTTAAGTTTGCCTGAAATGCTCTGCATACAAAGGGGCTTTTTGGCATGTACACCCAACTATTATATTCCTTTGTACAACTATGTATTATGCCAAAATAAAAATTATTATTATTATTATTACTAGCATGTGTGTAATAATCATGTACTACATACTTTATCCACCACAAAGACTCATACCTTACATTATGGAGCACAGGACTGGCTAGAGTTCAAAACTCTTTATAATATAAAATCACTGAAAAAGCACATTACACACCCCTCGGGACTATCTTATCTTATTATCAGCTGTTAAATTGTTATCACCAACTTTAATCTGCCTCCAAGGTTGTTAGGTTCGTAAGTAAGCATTATTATAATCATGGGGGAGCGCTAAACCCATAGGATTATACAGCACCTGTGGGGGAGGGGATGTGGAAGGTATTCAGACTTATTGCAAGGAAATGGATCAGATCCAATTCCATAGATCAAGAGCCCTTCACCAGCATCAAGGAACCTCACTTGAGGGGAGCAAGTAAAGTAAGTAAAGTAAGTAAGCAAGTAAGTATATTTAAGCACAGGTACACATAAGAAATTTGTTGTTTGTATATGTTTAATGTTCTATATACATGTATATAGATAACATCATCTCAGAGCTACATCTTGAATACTTCGTCCAGCTACCCGGCGGTGGGCTGCATGCCCAGAATGCTGCAGGCATTTCCCCTCTGGATCATAGCACCGAGTCTCTGAAAGAGGAAGCTGGCTGCCTTGTGATCCTTGGTTTAAATATATATATATATATATATATATATATATATATTTTATTTTTATATATATATAATATATATATATATATAAAATTATATATTATATATATATATTTTTATATATATATATTATATTATATATTTTTAAGCAAGTAATGGTTACGGTTACTGGCAGTGTAGTCCTTAAGTTAGTAAGTTTATTCAGGTACATGTACACATAAAAACAGTTACATAAATTGTCATACATAGATGTGTAGATTACCTAGGAGAACCCAAAAAAATTTTTGTATGTGACCCATCCCGTGACCCATCTTGTATATGACTTAATAGCCTAACAGCACTACTCATGTACTCAATTTTTGCTATGTACAAAATGTCTGGATAATATTATTTACGTTATTTACTTAAAAATGAAAGAAGCAAATGAAAGAGGCAATCACCCATAATCTTGTTGGCGTTATATATCACAGCAACACAAATTATTGATATTTTTAAATAAATTCACCCTCTAAAGTACATTATTTTAGGGGAAAAATTACTAGTGTTGGGATTGTTAAGGACACAGTGGAAATGAGTCAAGGACCGAAATGGAAATAATTCAAGGACCGAAATGGAAATAATTCAAGGACCCCAATAATAATAATCTTTATTTCTACAAATACATATACAACATATACATTAGTGACATATTATATAAAAAAAGCCCCTGGTTATACAGAGCATTTCGGGCAAATTAGGTCAATTTTATCCCCAGGATGCGACCCACACCAGTCGACAGCAAATCTCTTAAGGAAATACTTCCTAATGTTTCCAACCGTACCGGGGATCGAACCCCTGACCACAGTGTGTGAGCTGAGTGCCCTAGCAATCAAACTGCGGGACATTAATTATTATTATAATCATAACTAAGCGCTAAACCCTGGACCACAATGAAATAAGTCACTTAGACTTTTTTAGGTAATGCTTGGTAATTTATACCAGGTAAGATAACTGTATTTAGGTGTATCTGTGTTTAAATAAACTTACTTACGTGTGTAAGTATCCAAAATTACTCAGGATATAGCAAAATATTGCCAGGTGTTAATGATATCTCTTATCTTTGAGATTCTTCCCACTTTTTTTGAGTCTACTAGATGAATGAATTATTTTCGAAGAAACTGAAACCCAATAATGTCTATTTTTTAAGTGGTAATAGCATACTTCAATATTTTGGAGATTAATTTATATATATTTTACTGAGAGTGTATGTATACATGTATCTGGATTTATAACCAATAACAAGGACCCCAGTGGAAACAATCACTTTTCCTGACTTTTTTTTTCTATTTTGGTTATCCACTGGATGTGTATCTCTACCTAAATAAACTTATAATATATTGCAAATTTATCACTCGGCGATACTTGACACAATAGATATCTACCCTCTACCAGGATACACAGCAATTCACAACTGCAGACCAAACCAAGTTGGGGGTGGTATTGCAATCTATTACTCTAACCAATTATCTTGTATTAGCACCACTTGCTTTAGTGATGAATATGGGGAATACATTTTTGCTAATTTTACTGTAAAAAACCTTAAGACGCCTATAACAATCGGTGCCATTTACCGGATACCTCACACAAACATCCCAAATTTCAGTGAGAAATTAAAGTCACTAATAACAAACAGACAAATGAATAAGCACCACCTTCTCTTAGCTGGAGACTTCAACATCAACCTTGGCTTACTAGATGATCAGCCTGTAACTGATTTCTTTCAACAATATGAACAACACACTTCTCATACCAACAATAACTAAACCAACCAGGCTCACTGAGACAAGTGCAACCAAAATAGACCACATATGGACCAATATACAGCCCCCTTAAATCAGGGATAATCACAGATAGCACTACAGACCACTACCCAACCTTCCTCCTGACAAACATTAATAAACCACCACTTGAATACAACAAAGTCCATTTAGACTCCATGATGAGGCCTCAATAAGGAAGTTCACAGCTGACCTAGAGACTGTTGATTGGCCTACAGAATTCTCCAAGGCCAATGGTTTTGGGATGACAAGACAGAATTTTTCTTAACAAATTACTTAGACTATACAACAAACATTGTCCTATAAAAACAAAACAGATCACAAACAAACGGCTTGGTTGTCCATGGTAACCACACCATTCTGAAATCCATTGACAAGAAACACCAATATGAAAAGCAATATAGCAGGGCTTAATACCAAAGATACTCTTAAACACTATTCATCAGCTCTCACCAAAGTAATAAAGAAAGCCAAACAACTATACTACTCCAGTAGATTCACAGATACTAGAGGAGATATAAAAAAGACCTGGAAAACACTCTCTCATATTCTAGGGACCCCCCAAACTGAGAAAAACCAAAAATATTGTCCTAACTAAACCTAATGAAACACCACTACATCCCACTGACACAGCTAACAAGATAAACGACTTCTTCTCAAACATAGGATCTAATCTCGCCAGTAAAATCCCACATCCCAAATTGCCCATGCTGGGGACTACCTAGATGGAATTTCCCTAATTCCTTCTATCTTGCACCAACTGAGCCCAGGGAAGTCATTGAGATTATAAAGTCACTTAAAAATAACTCGGGGAATCTGTCTCATGTCCCACCATTACTGTACAAGGAGCGGCCCATGTCCTTTCGCATGCTATTTCATTACTTTTTAACAAGTCACTAGAGACTAGCCCCTTTCCCCGAAACTACTCAAGATGGCAAGGGTTACACCAATACATAAAGGTGGTGCCCCTACAGACTTAAACAACTATAGGCCAATATCTAACTTACCATTGCAAATCCAAATCTTTGAAAAAACTCGTGCAGAGGAGACTGTATTCATTTATAACGGCTCAAAACATACTCAACCCTGCCAATTTGGATTCAGGAAAAATAAAAGCACTAATGATGCAATCATAAAAATGCTAGATCTTCTTTACACAGTATTGGAAAATAAGGAATATCCATAGGAATTTTATTGACCTAAGAAAAGTTTTTGACACAGTAGACCACGACATCCTACTCCCAAACTTGATCATTACGGTATAAGAGGCCATGCGCTTGCTTATTTCAAACTTACATTACTAATAGGTATCAGTACGTCACCATTAAAGACACGCATCAGCAACACGGCCACTTGATACTGGGGTTCCGCAGGAAGTGTCCTTGGTCCCCTGCTCTTCCTCATATACATCAATGACCTTCCAAACGTATCCCAACACCTGAAACCCATTCTCTTTGCTGATGACCACGACTTATGTCATCTCTCACCCTAATCTTGCCACCCTCAACACCATTGTGATGAGGGGCTGATTAAAATATCGACTTGGATGACAGCCAATAAACTTACGCTTAACACTGACAAAACCTACTATATTATGTTGGTAGCAGAGCAGGAGATGCACCCAAATTAACATTAAGATTGACAACACTCAATTACCGAAATAATGGGGGAAAATTCCCAGGCTTATACCTTGACAACAACCTGAATTTCAGCACCCATATCCAGCATATAACCAAAAAGTATCCAAAACGGTTGGGATCCTCTCCAAGATACGATACTACGTGCCGCAAAATGCCCTTCTCACACTATAACACTCACTTATTTATCCATACCTCACCATGCTATTTGTGCTTGAGGATCAACTGCAGCAAAAACACCTAAAGCCAATAATAACCCAACAAAAAGCTGCAGTAAGAATAATCACTAAATCCATCCCTGGCAACACCCCCCCTCCCATCTTCATAGATCTAAACTTACTCCCTGTTCGTACATCCCACTTATACTGTGCAATCTACATCTACAGGACCTTAAACTCCAATATCAACCTTGACCTAAAAGGCTTTCTTGATAGTTGTGACAGAACCCACAGGGATAACACCAGACACAAACATCTCTACGACATTCCCATGTCTGACTAAACCTTTACAAAAATTCAATGTATGTCAAAGGCCCTAAAATCTGGGAAAAACCCTACCTGAGAACTCTAGAACTGCGACACATTCATCACTTCAAAACTACCATTAGAAAACATCTTATCTCCCTGATAAACCCCATCAACTAAATTTCACGAATACCCCCTGGGGTTCACACTTACACTCACTCACCCATTTGACCATAAACAGAAATATTAATCTCAATCTTAAAATAATGAATCCTATGATACTCCAGTACTGAAACTATGTACTGTGCCAAAACAAAAGCATTCACATTGCTAAACTCACAAACTAGTATTTAGTCACTTAGCCATAATACCAACTTACCTCATAATTTGTAATATTTTAAAATAAAGAATTAAACTAAGTATGCCCGAAATGCCTAGCCATGCTAGGCGTTCTAGTGGTACACTCTGTAATCATTATTTAACTACATGTAAACCACACAACAACCAAATTCTGTAAATTCAACATTGTAATCTTTATAGAGAATAAACTTTGAATTTGAATTTGAATTTGAATAAGGATTACAATGCTGAGTTTACAGAATTTGGTTATTGTGTGGTTTACATGTAGTAAAATAATAATTACAGAGTGTACCACTAGAACACCTAGCATGGCTAGGCATTTCGGGCAGACTTAGATTAATTCTTAAATTTAAAATATTGCAAATTATGAGGTAAGTTGGTATTATGGCTAAGTGACTAAATACTAGTTTGTGAGTTTAGCAATGTGAATGCTTTTGTTTTGGCACAATACATAGTTTCAGTATTGGAGTATCACAGGCCAACTTATGACTAGTTAGGATTCATTATTTTAAGATTGAGATTGATATTTCTGTTTATGGTCAAATTGACCTAATTTGTCCGAAATGCTCAGTATAACAAGCGGCTTTCAGTATAGTAGTATGCCACTGATGTCAGCTAGGGGTGTATACCTTGTACCTGGAGTTTACCTGGAGAGAGTTTCGGGGGTCAACGCCCCCGCGGCCCGGTCTGTGACCAGGCCTCCTGGTGGATCAGCGCCTGATCAACCAGGCTGTTGCTGCTGGCTGCACGCAAACCAACGTACGAGCCACAGCCCGGCTGATCAGGAACTGACTTTAGGTGCTTGTCCAGTGCCAGCTTGAAGACTGCCAGGGGTCTGTTGGTAATCCCCCTTATGTGTGCTGGGAGGCAGTTGAACAGTCTCGGGCCCCTGACACTTATTGTATGGTCTCTTAACGTGCTTGTAGTAAATATATTATTATTATTATTATTATTATTATTATTATTATTATTATTATTATTTATTATTATATTAGTATAATAAGCTAATAGATGACCGGCTCTGGCATCACGCCGTGCAGTATTTAAGGCTTCACTCAACTCAGCAACTCCATACCCACATCATGGGTATAGAGAGCATAAGATAGAAAACTAATACCCAGGGTCAGGAGCTTAGATTCGACCCCTGCAACCACAAATAGGTGTGTACTATGTGAACAGAGGCAACAGGTGTAAGGAAACACGTCCAATCTTTCCTCTCGTGCTGGGGAACGAACCCCAGTCTCTCCGAGTTCAAGTTGAAGCCTATACCACCCCATCCACGAGACCTTATAATGGTGACTAATGTTTTTGACTGAATTCATGGCTGACATATGCCACAGTTAATTCCTCAGGTTTTCACCCATCTTCCTCGAAATGCTTTCAAATTATTTTGTATTTTTGTATATGAAATAAAATTGTTATTATTATTATTATCATCATCATCATCATCATCATCATCATCATCATCATCATCATCATCATCATCAGCAGCAGCAGCAGCAGCAGCAGCAGCAGCAGCAGCAGCAGCAGCAGCAGTAGTAGTGGTCACAGGTGCTGTTAGAATCATAGATTCAGTTCACAGACCAGACCGCATCCTTTTCTCTTAATAATCATCAGCGTTTCACTGTCACTAAGAAAGTCAAACAAGTTACTGCTCACGAGTCTTTAACACTGATAATCTGACTCTTTTCTAGCACGATATCGGGCACACCATACTACCGTGTGGACACACTTCCCTGCTGGCACCTCTCTCTCTCTCTCTCTCTCTCTCTCTCTCTCTCTCTCTCTCTCAGGTGATTTCCAGAAGGGCTACTGGAGGTAATCAGTCCAAATGGCCTATTATAGATACCTGGAACACAATTTTCATAATGCATAATCCCTTTCCTGTGGTTCCTCACAGAATCTTTATACGGGAATAATGGGATATGTTTGAGAAGCGACTTTATCTGATTTTTCTGGGCTATAAGAACATAAAAAAGGAACTCTGGAGCAGACCTGTTGGCCCATATTAGTAAGTTTATTAGGCATACACTATGTATGATAATTGTACTTATGTGTATTTGTACCTAAATAACCTCATCTGCTGACGAAGACCTCGTCAGGTCATATTTCAGAGGAATAAGCTAACAAAATCAACAGTGCATTGGTTGCTGCAGGTAAACACTCTCCTGTTACCTTTAACTCACACTAGCCATAAGACTCCTTGTAGTAACAGCCTGGTTGATCAGGCCCTGATCCATCGTGAGGTTTGGTCATGGACCGACCGCGGGGGCGTTGACCCCTGAAACCCCCTCCAGATATTACTTATATCAAGAAGTATGAGCAGGAAATATTTTGCAGCATAATTCTTGTATCTATAAAGGGCATAAATTAGCTTCAGATAAATTGTTATGCATAAAAACCTTACTATAAAGACTGGTTAAAAAAACTTTACCTACGTTTGTAAAAATATTGTGACAACGACAGGTTGTTGGTAAAAATATTATGTGACAACGACAGGTTGTTAGTAAAAATATTATGTGACACTGACAGGCTGTTGGTAAAGACAAAATGCAAACATCAGGGCATTTTACTGAAAACGTTTCGGTCCTGGGACCTTGATCACTCCAAATGTGACTTAAGGTACCAGGACCTTAGCGATTCCGTTAAAATATCCTAGTGTTTGTATTTTTGTCTTTTTTTTTTTACCCTACACTCGTTCCCTCTCTCTGTGACTTGAAAAAGTCTACTGTGTGGGGGCGAAACGTTGTCAATAAAGGCTCTCTTACACAACATGGCTGTGTCCATATAGTCGGTGTTTTAATCCAGTTCTCTCCCAGCAGGTTATTGAAGCGAACACTTAGGGCAGCTTTAAAAGATAGGTTAGGCAAATACTAGAACTGGGAAAGTGTAAGTGAGTAGGACCTGCTTAGCATGAGTCAGTAGGCCTACTACATAACTTATTTAATCTTGTAAGATAAGCACAGCTATAGGCTTACTGGCCAGTCTCTGACAAGGTTTTTTCCTATCCATTCTCTTGTATGTGCAGCTCAGCCTTAAACCTATACATGGAAAGTATTCATTTTAATGATGGAACTTGGCAATTTAGTCCAATATATATTAGATATACTTGTTAATGTATGGTATATATCCTAAGAAAACCCGGCCCCTCCAGACGCAAGCATGGAAGATGTCCAGATTATTGATCAAAGAAGCTTTAGATACCTGAAAAATCAATAGTGTAACGTTGTCTGCTGTTTCCATGGACATTGTTTACACTGTTGAAGCCACTGCCATAGATTTTCTTCTTGGTCAGCATGATTAAATATCCCAAATATGAGAAAACTCTGAGCAGAAGGAGTGAGCCCACTTACCAGATTGTGGTAGCAGCTGTTACAGCTCCCCGACTCTAAAGCTCGTTCTTATTTCACGTTCTTCTTACGCTTCACCGGATTATTTGCTGTTGCACATTGACATGAAGCATCACGAAAGACTACAGTGTCGGGTGTGGTGTCTCCTGACAAGGGTAAGTCCACTGGGATAGTGTAAATAAGGGAAGAAGATGAAGGAGGAGTGTGCGCCTGGCCGGCCACTGCTGCGAGTGTCACTGTGTGAGGGTCTCGACTAGGAATTATCTCACTTTTACCAAAATTTTACAGAAATACTGATGCTCTGTATCAAACCATGTTATTCATTAATTATAATTATGTGTGTGGTATTGCGGAATTCACTACTAGTGTACTAATGCCAGTCCTACTCTCTTAATTCAATGATATTGATATAGCAGTTTTAAAAAGTAATATAATTATATATATACGCATGTAACTAATGGGTTTATTATCGTTTATACGAAATTCGATGCTTCATAAACATTACTGATTATATTATAAATACAATGGTGGAGTTTTAGGATATATATGGGAAAAGAGAGATGCTGTCAGGTCCGTGAGAGTTAGGGTGGAGGCGCCGCGGTGCATTGTGGGAGCTCATTGATCGCAAAGTCAGCTGAGAGATGCGGCTTGCAGAATGTCCCCGCATTTTTTTTTATATGCGTCATGTGAAGCGCAAAATCCGTATGGGTCATGCAGGGAATGCTGGAGGCTCGATCCTCCGCCTGTGCTAATGGAAAGACAGATGGTTAAAAAGGGTTTTAAAGTCTGTCGACTGCACGTGGGCCATTAAGGTTGTACGGAACGTGTTCACAACCAGTCAAGAGTATTTTAATCCTTTAAAAAAGGGGGATTAAAGTAATCTCTCAGTGTATACACACTGCGAGACCCCAATGGAAATAAGTCAAGGACCCCAATGGAAATAAGTCAAGGACCCCAATGGAAATAAGTCAAGGACCCCAATGGAAATAAGTCAAGGACCTCAATGGAAATAAGTCACTTTGTCTGACTTTTTTTTTTACACGTGTCACTATATATGATCCATACCACGGGCGGGATTTGAACCCGCGGTCAGAGAGTCTCAAAACTCCAGACCGTCACGTTAGCCACTGGCTAGCTGGTCCAGTGGCTAACGCGACGGTCTGGAGTTTTGAGACTCTCTGACCGCGGGTTCAAATCCCGCCCGTGGTATGGTTTGTTTGCAATCGTGTCATTACGATTTCGTGAGTCACTATATATGATAATTGTACTTATGTGCACCTGTACCTAAATAAACTTGGGCTAAAGTACAGTACATAGAAAGAAAACAAACAAGGCAGCCTAGCCCGTGCCTCAACTCACTTACCACAACAATATTTTTTGATTATACTGGATTATCTATTTTAATTAACTCTTATCAGTCCTCGTGTTTATACACACGAGGCAGGAAATTAAAATTTATTTAGTATTTAACAGGCCACTATACTCTTTCCCGTTTTTTTAAGCCCAGAATTTTCGCGTTAATGTCGAATTCCCAGCCAATCAGCGTGGCCAACTTTGATGCCGGTCAAGGGCTCTTGATCCCAGGAATATGATTCACTCCTAGGATTGAACTTGATTTCCTCCTGTTCCCTAGGCGCTGTGTTACTACGGGTTTAGCGCTTTCCCATGAACATAATAATAATAATAATAATCCACCACTAGGCCTGGTCTCAGACCGAGCCGCGGGGGCGATAACCCCCGAAACCCTCTCCAGGTATACTCCAGGTATACTAATACCACCACCACCACCACTACTACTACTACAACTACTACTACTACTACTACTACTACTACTACTACTACTACTACTACTACTACTACTACTACTACTACTACTACTACTACTACTACTACTACTGCTACTACTGCTACTACTACTACTACTAATACTAATAATAATAATTATAGTAATAATAATTATAATAATAATTAATAATAATAATAATTAATAATAATAATAATAATAATAATAATAATAATAATAATAATAATAATAAAAGGCCTATATTCAAATGCACTTAGGGTGTTCGATGTAGACATGATAAACTATAGGCCTACAGACTGAAGAGAACAAGTTAGATGTAGTAGGCTGTATGTCTACCTATCTGTACAATAGAGAGCTTTGGGCTCACAGCCAGTGAGCCCGGCTTGAATCCTGGGGAGGGAGGAGGAGGCGTTGGGCATGGCTCCTTAACCTTCTTCACCTAACAGTAGATAGGTGCTAGTCGTCCAGTGTGGGTGGTACTTCACCTTAAATAGTCTATGTATGGGCTGAGGCAGGATAAAACACACACGCAGGAGGTTCAGTGGGACAGAGAAATGGTAGGAAAATCAGTAAACGAGATGATGGAATATGTGGCAACAAAGTGCAAGGAGGCAGAGGAAAGGTTTGTTCCCAAGGGAAACAGAAATAATAGGAAGACCAAAACGAGTCCTTGGTTTACCCGAAGGTGTAGGGAGGCAAAAACTAAGTGCAACAGAGAATGGAAAAGGTACTGGAGGCATAGGACCCAGGAAAACAAGGAGATTAGTAGAAGAGCCAGAAACGAGTATGCACAGATAAGGAGGAGGCCAGCGACAGTATGAAAACGACATAGCATCGAAAGTCAAATCTGACCGAAACTGCTGTATAGCCACATTAGGAGGGAAAAATAACAGTCAAGGACAGGTGATAAGACTGAAGAAAGAAGGTGGAGAACTCACAAGAAACGATCAAGAGGTATGTGAGGAGCTCAACACGAGATTTAAGGAAGTATTTACAGTTGAGACAGGAAGGACTCTGGGGGGACAGACCAGATGGGGAACACCAGCAAGGGATACACCAACAAGTGTTGGACGACATACATACAGATGAGGAGGAGGTGAAGAAAATGCTAAGGGACATCGATACCTCAAAGGCAATGGGACCGGACAATATCTCCCCGTGGGTCCTTAGAGAGGGAGCAGATATGTTGTGCGTGCCACTTACCACAATCTTCAACACGTCCCTGGAAACTGGGCAACTACCTGAGGTATGGAAGACGGCAAATGTAGTTTCCATTTTTAAAAAAGGAGACAGAAAAGAGGCACTAAATATTAGACCTGTGTCTTGCGTGTATAGTATGAAAAGGGTTTATGGGAAGATTATCAGGGGAGGGGTTTGGGGCACCTGGAACGGAAACCCAAGGTATAAATCCCAAAACCACCGGATTCAGGGAAGGCAAATCCTTGTCACAAACTTTCTGGAGTTTTATGATAAAATAAAGAAGAAACACGGAGAGGGGGGTGGGGTTTGATTGCATTTCTTGGACGGGCAAGAAGGTTTTTTGGGACATTTTTTCCTCCAAAGATTAGTGCAAAAAGGTTTAGAGAAATCAGGCGCAAAACGGGAAAGGGCACTGAAATGGATCAGAAAAATACCTGACAGGGAGGCAAAAACGATTTCTTTGGTACTTTAATGATGTATCACAGTGGGCACCTGTGACGAGGGGGGTTCCCACGGGGGGTGGGCCCGGGCCCCGTGAATTTTTGGTATATGTGAACGACAAGGGAAGGGAAAAGGGTTGTTTAGAATTTTGTTTGGGTTTCAGATGAGGAAAATTAAAAATAAAGGGAAGAAAAGGTTTAAAACCTCCAAAAAAGAAGGAAAAGGGAAAGGACCCAAATGGGGCCTGGAAAAAGACGGGGAAACCTTAAAGGGAAAAGGTTCGGGGGTTTAAAAACCCTGCCCAAAGAAAATAAATGAAAGTTAAAGGGCCCTAAACCAAACAGAGTAAAACCAAAGGTGGCCAAGCCCTGAACCTTTCCACCCAAAAGGAGAAAGACCCTTGGGGTTAAATAAACCCCAAAAAAAAATGGTTCCAAAATTTTCAAAATTTTTTCCAGATAAGGGCCTTAAAAGAATGGGGTTGGGAAACCCTGAAAACACTTAAACCCGAAGGAAAGGTTGGGGGAACTGAAAACCCCCTTAAAATTCCGGGAAAAACGGGAAAGCAGATTTTTGGGAACCCGGGCCACTTGGGAATAAAGCACGGTCAAGAAAAAAGGGGGAAAAAAAATTTCGAAAATTAATTTTCCAGGCAAGGGGAAAAGCCCTAGGAAAAGATTAAGGGGAACCCCCGAAGACATGGAAAAGGGAGGGCGGGGGAGAAGATAAAAATTAATTCCCGGGAATTGAAAAGGGTGGACCAAAGGGGGAAAGGAGCGGGAGGGGCCACAGAAACAAAAGGGACATTAACCCAAGCCAAATGAGTCGGGGGAAAGGAAATATGTTTCGGGGACAAGAGGGCAGGCCGGGAAGCAAAAAAGGGTTGGACCCTGGGAAACCATAAAAAAGTTTTAAAGCCCCGAGGTTTAAAAAGTCTTGAGGGGGGAAGAAACCCAAGCGAAACGGTGAATCTGGGCCCCGGGGAAAGACTCATCTTGCCCACAAAATATTTGGTTAAAAAGGGAGAAACAAACCCCCCCCCGGGGGGGGGGCCCCAAAAGGACGCAGACCCCCTTATATTTTGGGATGGCCGCCCGGGGGCAAAAACCTCACTAAGGAAAAAATTCCTTGGGGGTGATTATAAAAGAAAAAAATCTTTTTAAACCCCCAATTAATCAAAACCCTGTCCACAATAGGGGGCCGCCTTTTGGCCCAAAAAATACTTTTAGGGTTTGGATACCCTAAAAGAAAGGGGGGAAGGTTGTCTGTTTTCCCCAAAAATTTCGTGGGGCCCATATTTGGGGGGGAAAACACCCCGGGGTTTGGAATTTCCAACCAGCAAAGCACGTTCAAGTTGGGGGAAAGTCAATTTGTAAAAACAAGACAGAAAAGGGGGGTAACGGGGGGTTTTTCCAGGGGGGGTTGGGGGGAAAATTTTCCGGCCCTTAAAACATTTGGAGGCCCTTTTGGGGGGTTTAAAAGGGGAAAAACATAAATTAAGGACAATAAAAATAATGGGGTTGGAATTTAGACAGGGTTTGGGACAAAAAAAAAGGGATGAGGGAGGGGACACAAAAACACAAAAGAAGGACACTTTGGGAATTTGAAACCCCCAGATGAATCAAAGGGATTTTTAAAGGAAGAAATATCTTTCTTTCGGGCCGGGGAAATTTCCCCAAAAGGGGAAGTGTGGGGGCGGGAACCATACATATTTTAAAAGGCGAGGAAAGATAAAGTCATGGAGCGGGGAGAGAGAGGACCTATTAGCAACATAAAAAGG